ACGAAAGAGAAACATACGAATTCGGGGAATGGACGTCCGAGCGATGGCACGCAGACGCCAGAAGACGCGGACAGCTTCCTGCGCACGTCGTTCAGCCGCCAGTGGTAGGGGCTGCTGAAAGTTTGACCCCGACCTGGACCCCTCCCCGGGCACACCTGGCAAGCTTTCAGAGTTGTCGTGGCCACGATCGGGCCCTGCCTCCCGACACTCTTCCCCCTCCTCGGTCACTCCTCCTCCTCGCCTTCCTTTCCCTCCTCCTCCTCCTTCTCCTGACTCTTCACTCCTCCTGACCCCTCACTCCTCCTCCGCCTCCTCCTCCTCCTCCTCGTATCACCCCCTTTTCCTCTTCTTTCCCCTCCCTCCTCCACCTCCTGCTCATCCTTTCCCTCCTGTGGAGTACTCCTGATCGCCCTTATCCTCCTCCTCGGAGCCAGCTGCTCCTCCGTATGGCCCTCCCCCTCCGGGGCTGGGCAATGGGGAGCAGTGAATGGTGATCACGTTTTTGGCATCGCTCGGACGTGCGCATTTTCTGACGAGGACCATCGAGGAGCATCCTAGATCATTCGGCAAAAACAGCACGCACGAAATCGAAAAATGCACGTGCAATGGACGTCCGAGCGATGGCAAGGGCACGAGTCCGCCTACACATCACATGATTGAGGCTACATTCCGCACGCCAAATGAGCGACGCATAAAAACGGGTTCTACGGCGCCGACATTGGCGCGCAAGCTGCCCGCGTAAGGTCGCAGGTAAGCGCCCTCGTCTCCAGTGCAGCGTGCTTCGCGGGCGGCCCACGTAAGCTGCGGCGTGAGGTCGCTGTGTCACCCCGCGTACGACCCCCGTTTGATCGTCGCTCACATGCCCTGACGACCATTGGCGCGCTCTCCACAAGGGAGCGCGCACGACTTTGGGGCGGGGTAATCGGGAGCAGTGAGTGGTGGTCACGACACGAGTCCGCCTACACCTCACGTGTGCATTTTTCCTTGGCGAGGGCCATCGAGGAGCATGCTGGACCATCGTGCGAAAAAACACACGTGCGAAACCGAAACGTGCACGGGGAAGGGACGCGAGACCGAAGCATGCCGCGCCCGAGCGATGGCAAGTGGCGGGCTCTCCCAAAGGGAGCGCGCACGACCCCGACATTCTTTTCGCTCCGCTCCCCCGCGCGTGGCACGTCGCTGAGCGCGTTCCACTACTCGCAAAGTACCTACTCGCAAACTTTCAAAAAACACATGTCTGCTTTGATGTGCCTTATAGTAGATCCCCTGTGGCGGATCCAGGCCATTTGCGAGCAGCTACTGTGCGAGCAGTGGACCGCGATCCCCGGGGCCGAGGCGCCGCGCCCCCCGCCGCCGCACGCCCACGCCGGCGCCGGCCCTCCCGCGCCGCAGCTGCTGCGGCCGGCCGCGAGCCGGGCCGCCGCGGCGGCGCAGGCGGGTGCGGCCGCTCGGCACGGTGGAGACGGGCGCGGGAAGCGAGGGACGTCGTCCGACGTCGTCGTCGTCTTGGTCCTCGCCCTCGCCCTCGTCGTCGTCCTCGCACTCTCCCTCGTCCTCGTCCTCGCCCTCGCCCTCGCCCTCGCCCTCGCCCTCGTCCTCGCCCTCGCCCTCGCCCTCGCACTCGTCCTCGTCCTCGCCGTCGTCGTCGCCGCCTCCACACTCGCCGCCCCCTCTGGCTGGCCGCCTCCCCTGCCCCCGGGGGGCGCGGAGCGGCAGTGAACAAGAGTAGGAGGACGGGGGGAGGGGAGAAGCCAGGCCTCCCAGGTGGGGTCGGGGCAGGCGGGGTCAGATGATCGCGCCGCATCGCCGATGCACTGCCGATGCATTGCCGATGGGGCTCGAAGAATGGGGACGAAGGACCGTCACGGTCCGCGCCCATTCTGCGCAGGATTTCTTGTCGGCGTCGCCACAGACGCTGTCCGCTGAAGACAGGGTCGTTGCCCAAAAGTGGACCATCTCAGTGTAGGACCACATTTGCTGTTGGGCATCGTACCCATTTTGGGGGGGGGCCCGTTCGGACGGGCTTTCAGAGCCGCCGCCCAGTACGATCGAGATGGGTACGGGAAGGAGGGGGCCGAATCGCCATGGGGGAAACGGGTCCTGAGTTTGCCCTAGGACCGTCAGAAAACGATTCAGGATGAAGAATTCGTCCTGGGGATGGCCCCAGGGTCCAGGACCCGTTTCCCTCAGGACCCGTTTCCCCCATGCTAAACAAAGAGCAGCAGTTCAGAGTTCACAAGAGCAGGAGGAGGGAGGGAGAGGAGAAGCTAGGCGCTAGGCGTCCAAAGCAACCGTTCGGCACGATCGAGATTGGTATGGGAAGGGGGGGGACGAAGAGCAGCAGCTAAGAGTTCAAAAGAGCAGGAGGGAGGAAGGGAGGGAGGGGAGAAGCTAGGCGGCCTCCAGGGTGCTTGGCATCGCTCGGACGTGTGCATGTTTAATCTGCGAGAACCATCGGGGAGCATCGAGAATCACCTTGCGAAAAATAAGCGCACGAAACCGAAACATGCACGGGTAATGGACCGAGCGATGGCAAGGGTGGGAGGATCGCGTCGCATCGCCGATGCATCGCCGACGAGTGCCTGGTGACCCAAATCCGAGCTGCCCCTCACCCAGAGGTATGCAGGGCAGAGTCGGGCGTCCGAGAAGGGCGGGAGGAGGCGGATGATGGCAGCCACCTGGAGGGGGCAGGAGGGCACGGAGGGGGTGAGAGGGCGAAGGCTTCGAGTACGTAGGGGATCTATTACATGATTGACTTAGCCCAAAATTCATTCCCTCCTCGTTGATCTACAAATTGTCCGCGTAATTTTTGGAAGATTCGACAAATACTTAAATTTCGATGCAATTTGGCGCGTCAGGGGGCGCTTCTGGGGCCGATGGGCCCGCTGACACTAAGCCCGTGACGCCTCCCCCTTCCCCCCCGCCGGCACCAAACCCAGGAGCCCCCCCATCCAAACCGGCCGGACCAAGCTCCCGGGGGAGGGGTCGAGTGAGGGGTTTCCATCTCACACGCCGAGGAGATCCCACGCGGTCGGCGAATTCGAAGACGTACATAAAAAAGGTTCTGCCCACCTCCTTGGATTGGCCGCTAATGTGTTCCATGCGCCGCCTCCAGAGCTCTCGACCCATTCCTGGTGACGGTGCTTTCAGCCTCCGTTGCTCTTCAAGTGTGCTGGAGCTTTTTAAAGCGGACGTGCGAAAAACATCACCCTTTTCTGTTGCGGGCGAACGACCACGGGAGGGCCGTAAACGTGGAGGGGGGGGGGGGCGGCAAGGATTGCAGAAATTGGCCAGAAATGGCTCCTAAATTGTTGTCGCTTCGCGAATCCCCACCAGCCCATCCAGAAACGATGGCCAGAGGAATTGCCTCGATCAGAGAAGTGGGCAGCACACAGAGGAAGCCATTATGAGACATCTTGGGATATCTTGAGCCATCTTGGAGGTCATTTTGGGCTCTCCCAGACGCTCTTGGAGTCATCTTAATCCGTGCCCCCCCCCAAGAGGCCTCCATGTGGCTAAAACCTGTGTAGAATCAATGATTAGGCATTCTCGCCGAGGCCTCTTGGAGCATCTTGGGTGCATCTGGGGGGGCTCTTGGGGCCTCTTGGGGGTCTCTTGGGGGCCTCCGGGGGGCCTCTTGGGGGCCTCTTGGGGCCATTTTGGGGCCATCTTGGGACCTCTTGGGGCTTCCTGGGCGCTTCTTGGGGCCATCTTGGAGGAGATCGATCAAACAAGAGGGGGGGCTTTAATTAGCGCCCCCCCTCGGAAGCCCCTAAAATCGCCTCTTGGACCCCTCTTGGAACGCTCTTGGAGTGCTCTTGGGCGCTCTTGGGGCCGTCTTGGGGCTCTTTTGGGGCTCTCTTGGGGCCCTCTTGGGCCATCTTGGAACCATCTCCAGGCCTCGGATGGCCATCGGAAGCGAAAAGGCGAGAAAGCAAAAATCATTGATTTTCCTTAGGTTTTGGGACGATTTTGGCCTCTTCGGGGCCTCCTTGGGGAGCTGTTTGGCCACTTGGAGTTATCTTGGGGCCGTCTTTGGGCTTCTTGGAACCATCTTAGGAGCCATCTCGAGCGATCTTGCGCTATCTTGAGCCATCTTGGAGCTCATCTTGGGTTCTCTGAGGCGCTCTTGGAGCCGTCTTGGGCCATCTGGGACGCTCTAACTACCCGCGGCCCCCCCCGTCCAGGTCCAGGGGAGGGGGTAGGGGGAGGGGTAAACCCCTCCCCAAGGGGGAAGAGGGAGGGGTGGAAGAGGATCTGCTCTAGACCACCTACGCCCAGAGGGCTGGTGGGACTACACCTGCGGGCCCACCAGGTGCACGAAAGGCGCACGTTTCTTCATCGCACGTTGATTGCCCCTCATTACCGATCACCCGATTCCTTCCACGCCGTCCTCTCTCCCCCCTGCAATTCCTCAGACAAGCGACGGGGGAGTAGCACCAGCGGCGTCAGCACGGCGGAGGCGGCCACCACGGTAAAAATAAGGCCCAGGCTTCGACCAGCATTTGAAACACGAGCGCCCTCCCCATTCCACCCCTCCCCCTTATGGTACAACTCCTGGGAGTTGAAATTCAGCATCGGCGCTGTTCAATACGTGGTCGAGCACCGGTCGAATCTGGCAGAATCCCGCTTCATCCAGCATCCTGTTTTGCCTACTTCGGCTTAGTCCTGGTTTCTTCCGGCTGGATCCGGAACGCTGGCCCCGCAATCGGGTCACTATCAGCCTTTGCTCGTTGTAACGAAGACCTCGCAGGAGTTGGCACCTGATACATGTACTCCTCCTTCGTAAACGACGATCAACTGAGAGGAAACATGTCGCCAAATAATTTCCAGAAGTGTAGAAAGTGAATACACATAAACATGTTTGAAACGTATAAAAACATGATTTTAACACAGTCTAGATAATGTTTCAAACATTTCATACACGTGTCGTGTTCAATGATAGAGCGGTTGGAGTGTCCATTGTCATGGCATCCACATGTCCTCTCTCTGTTCCCTGCAGCCGGGGTATTTCTCTAGCCGACCAGAGCCACCGCGCGCCTTCCGCGCTGCCCGCCGCCCGATGGCCCGCGGCACCGCCCGCCGCCTCCTGGCCCTCGGCGCCGCCGCGCTCTCGCTGCTGCGGGAGGGAGTGAGGGGCAGCAGCAGCAGGAGAGAGGAAGGGGAGAGGAAGGGGAGAGGAGGAGGAGGACAAAGGAGCAGGACCTGTGAAAGCCCAAGTCGCATCGACGACGTTGGAATAGGCCCTCCAAGTTCCCTCTTCACAGGGCCGTGGATGAATTTAGTTGCATTGCAGGAAGTGTCCCATTGGAACCGTTTGGGAGTCATCAATCGCTCGGGATTTCATTTCCTGGAATCTACGTGATTGTTGCGCCCTGGCATTCTTACATCGTGCCAGGGCACGATTCTTGGGACTTCAGCACCGCAAGTCAACATACACGTTGCGCCTTGCAATCAGAAATCGCGCCAGAACACAATTCCAGGGATGCGACCCCTTGAAACTGTTGCAAATTTGTCTGACGAATGTGCGCGGCACTGAGGCGATTGCCACATCAAGAAAAAGGGCCGCCCTCCATCCTTGAAATTGTTGCAGACTTGTCTGGCAGATGTGCGCGCGCACTAGGGCGAGAGCCACATTTTGCAAACGGCCCGCCCACTACCTTTGAAGTTGTTGCAAATGTGTCTCACGAATGTACTCGGCGCTAGGGCGAGAGCCACATGTTCAAAACTGCCCGCCCTTCATAAGTTAAGCTGCTCCAACGCTCAGGCTTCAGGATTATAACTTGTGAGGGCGTCTCAGGCGAAGCGCCCGGCCCACCTTACAGACACGTCTTGGGGGGGGCTACATAGAGAAGTTCTTCGTAATGGGAGGAGGAGGAGGAGGAGGAGGAGGAGGAGAGAGGACCAGAGTAAACCCGAGATGCAGCAACCAATGTTGTAATTCAAAGTACATACAAGTATTCCTTTCTTTTGCGGGCGCCCCTCCTGGAATGACGATCGGCCGGTCGGTCCGCCAGTCAGACGAGTGCACCTGTTGTGACTTGTTCTCCCTCCACTTGAAGAACGCCCAGGGCAGCCCCATTTTGAGAAGCACATGTGCTCCATCCGTCTAAGCGCTGCAGGATGTCAAAGACGTGGACGTATGCTCCGCGGAAGTCCCACGCGACAGCCTTTCAAGGAGGCCCATGTTACAAATGAACATGCCCTCTAGTCGTCAAAGCAATGCAGGATGTCCAAGTCGTGGACGTACGCTTCGCAGAAGTCTCACGCGAGAGCCCCGTTCCAAATGAGGAGCCGGCCTCCGTCCGCGTCAGTTGTTTTACAACATGAAGCGTCGGGTCGGGGATTCCGAGGAAAGGTCAAAGGATTGTAGATGGTGGATGTTGTGTTCGAATGTGCGCGAAGCCGAAGGGGGACCCCAATTCGGTGGGGGGCCTTGCGCTAAGGAATGTGCCCAGGAGGCTGCAGACCCTGGAGGACTCTTTATCCGATGAGGGCGGCGGTGATACCCATGGCCGAGCTACGACTGGAGTTCCACCGTCTACAGACCCTGGATTCCTTGCCTTACAGTGGGGGCGCGCATCAAGAAACCATATGCTTTTCGTCAGGGTATCCTGGGTTTCTTCGCTCCTCGCGCTGCGCGGTGACTTCCCGCAGCTGTTGAAGGAGCTGCTGCGTTCACGGTGCTCCGGGTTTCTCCTCAGGTATACTTCGCGCGCGAGTTTTCAGGGTTGGGTTTCTTGCCAGGGTTTCTTGCGGCCGCGCCCGCACTGTGTAAGGGTTCCTTGTCCAATGCCCCCTAGACCATCTTGGAAAAAGGGACCGCGCGGCGAAGGGCAACTCGAGACACGCCGAGCTTGCGCGGCGCCACCGGCGAGAGCCCGTGTCTGAGAACGAGCCGCCCTCTGCCGCTTCGCTGACGCTGGGCAAAGCGATGGCGTGCGCCAGCAGAGCGAGAGCCCCACCGTGGAAACCGCCTGTGGTCCTCGCGTCAGCGCGATGTGAACTCTTGACCCCTCGCGCGTCCCCGCCGGCCCACCCAGAGACGCTCAGCGGCTTCCGTGAGGCCTCTTGGAGCCTATCTTTGAGCCATGCTCGGCCTGAGGCTGTCGGACGCTATCTTGAGCCATGGTCAGCTACCTTGGGTCATCTTGAGGCTGTCTAGAGGCCTCTTGGAGGACTGTCAGAGGCCACCTTGAGCCATGCCAGACCTCCTCGGACGATCTTGGGAGGAAGAGGAGGAGGAAGAGGAGGAGGAGGAAAAAGAGAGAGATAATGACGAGGAGGGGGAAGAAGAGGAGGAGGAGGAGGAATGCGGCACGAGGAAGAGGAGGAGGAGGAGGAAGAAGGAGGCAGGAAAGGAGGAGGGAAGGAACGGACGATGACAAAGAGGATGGGAAGTCGGGCTTTGGAGAAATGCTGCTGTGAGAGGTTCTTGAAGGACGACGAAGGCCGTCTTAGGGGCTCTCTTGAAATCCCCGTAGGGCCTCTTGGGGTACTCGAGGGGCTCGTGTTTGGGGTATTGGGCCGTCTTGGAGCCATCTCAAAGCCTCAAAGCCAAGAAAAAAGGCGAGAAGGCAACACACATTGATTGTCCTTTGTGATTGAAGGATTCTGGCCTCTTCGAGGATGCTTCGGAAGGCTCGAAGGGAACTCGGAGCCGTCTTGGGACTGCATCGTGGCCTCTCGGACGTGTGTAGGAGGCTAGATTCTTCTCGCTTCGCGGGGTGCACGTCCGGAGCACGTACAGTCACGTCGTCGCGGGGCCTCTTGGGAGCCTCTTGGGGGCCTCCTGGAGGCCTCCTGGGAGTTTCTTTTGGCCTCTTGAGGACTTCTTTGGGGCCTTTCCCCCTTCCCCCCTTTTCATACACCCTCCCCATCTTCCCTTCCAGCGCCGGCTCTGATCATGGGCGCCGCAGTGACCAACTTCCACCTGGCTGGCGCTGCGCCGCAGGTCGCCCAGGTTGGAAAAATGGCATTACACTCCAGTCGTTTCGTGGCCTTTGGGTTTTTTTGGGGGAGCCAGCCTTTGGGAGGCTTCCTGAGGACATCTTGGAGGCCTCTTGGGGGCGTTTTGTGGCCCCCTGGGGGCCTCTTGGGGGCCTCTTGGGGCCTCTTGGGGGCGTCTTTGGCCGTGTTGGGGCGCTTTTGCGCCGTTTCGCCCCTTCGGAGGCCGTTTTGGGGGCCTCTCGCGGCCGCCTTGGGGCCGTCTTGGGGTCCTCCTGGGCCGTCATAGGGGCCTCTTGGACCGTCTTGGGGGCTTTTGGGGGCCGTCTTGGGGTTCTGTTGGGCCGCATTGGGGCCCTCTTGGGGGCTTCTTGGGTTGTTCTGGAGCGATCCGGGAAGCTGCTTAGGCCGCAAAGGCGAGAACGCTAAAATATTACCAAACCAAAGGGAAATCAATCATTTCGGCTTCTGGACGCGCAGTTGTGGGCGCTCTTGGGGCCCTCTTGGGCCGTCATTGGGTTTTTTGGGGCCCTCTTGGGGCCGTCTTGGACCGTCTCGGGGCCGTCTTGGCCCGCACAATGCCCATCTTGAGCCGTCTTGGCGCCCTCTTGGCCCCCCAAGAGGCCGAAGAGGTCGAAATCATAGATTTTCTATAGGTTTTGGTAAGTTTTTGAGCCCCGGGAGGGGGGGGCCACTTTGGTCCGCTCCTGTGGCGCAGCTCCCAGGGGGGGTAGGGGGGATACATAATAGTGTAACACAATACAGTATGTGGGAAGTATACAAACATTGGACACATTGGATCCACTGCGTTACAGCATCCGCGGAAAACGCTGCCGCTCAGCACGTCACTTCCGGACGTGGATTCCTCTCGCTTCGCGGGGTGCACGTCCGGAGCACGTACAGTCACGTCGTCGCGGGGCCTCTTGGGAGCCTCTTGGGGGCCTCCTGGAGGCCTCCTGGGAGTTTCTTTTGGCCTTTTGGGGGCTTCTTTGGGAGTTTTCCCCCTTCCCCCCTTTTCATACACCCTCCCCATCTTCCCTTCCATCGCCGGCTCCAATCATGGGCGCCGCAGTGACCAACTTCCACCTGGCTGGCGCTGCGCCGCAGTTCGCCCAGATGGGGGAAAATAACATGACACACCAGTCGCTGTGTGGCCTTTGGGGGACTTGATGGAGGCCTTTTGGAGGCTTCTGGGGGACGTATTGGAGGCTTGTTGGGGGCCTCTTGGGGCCTCTTGGGGGCTTCTTGGGCCGTTTCGCCCTCCTCGGAGGGCCTCTCGCGGCCGCATTGGAGCCCTCTTGTGGTCCTCTTGGGCCGTCTTCGCTGCCTCTTGGACCGTTTTGGGGGCCTCTTTGGGTCGTTTTGGGGCCATTTTGGGCCGTCTTGGGGCCCTCTTAGAGCTTTTTGGGCTGTTCTGGGGCGACTCTGGAAGCTGCTTGGGCTGTCATGGATTTTTGAAAGCTTAAAAAGACGAGAACGCTAAAATATTGCAAGAACCATCGGAAAGTCAATGATTTCGGCCTCTGGAGGCGCAGTTGTGGGCGCTCTTGGGCCCTGTTGGGCCGTCCTTGGAGCTTTTGGGGCCCTCTTGGGGCCGTCTTGGGGGCCTCATGGGCCCACGTTGGGAATATCTTGGGCCGTCCTGGGCTGTCTTAGGCCCATTTGGGGCCATCTTGAGGCCCTCTGCGAGCCCCAAGAGGCCCAAGAGGCCGAATTTGTTTTTTCATCGGTTTTCGAAGGTTGTTAGGGTCCCAGAAGGGGGGATCACTTTGGTCCGGCGGTGTGGCGCAGCTCCCAGGGGGGGTTAGGGGGGAGACATAATAATGTAACACAAAACAATATGTTGCAATTATGGAATCTTTGGATACATTGGATACGTTGCACTAAGGCGTTCGCCGAAAAACGTTGCCGCTCAGCACGTCACCTCCGGACGTGGATTCATTGGCTTACGCCGCACCGCCGACCCCTTAGGCCGGCAGCAATCGTCCCCGGCGTGGCCTGTCCGGACAGTTTGTGAGGCCCTTCTAGACACGTTTTGGAGCCCTCTGAGGACCGTCCTGCCGTTCCCCCTCGGCCGTTGCTATGGTTTTGGGGGCCTTCCTGGGGTGCCCGGATGCCGTCGTGGAGCCTGTTGGAAAGTCTCTTGGGGTGC